GGGGTAAATTAAACTTGCATTGCCGCAAGATTTTACCGAATATTTTTAACGTAGACGAGTAGTAAAGCATAAAGGATCAAAAGGTGGTTTTTCCTACAAAGGGAGATTGAGGTTTGATGTCTGTTAGACAACACATTTTCTTTACGATTTCTCGAATGCACAGACCAATACAAATAATGCTGTTCAATAAAAAATACGGACATCTATTTCAAATACGAGTACCCTCTAAAAATAACATTTGAAATTTAAAAAAAAAAATATCTGAATAAAAATAAATTCATTAATTCTTTTATATATATATATATATAGACAGCAATCCTTCATTTATACATGTTCCATTAGAGACGATAGACAAGGTACTGCGATTAAGCTTTTTATATAATTTTTCTTGTCTTCGAACAAGTGTTTTCTTTTCTGGATAGTGTGTAGAAACTGTTCAAATGTTCTATAATTTCGAGCACTTTCGACTATATTCTTAGTCATTATCAAGGATGATTTTATTTTTGCTTTTTAATTGGGTTTATAGGTTGTGAATGTGTTTCTAGATTTATAGGGACGTTTTATTTTCCGAATACAGTTGAGGCCGTGTTCGTACTTATTATTGAGTGTAAGTTTTTTTTTTTTTTTTTTTTTTTAATTATTAAGGCTTCCATTACTTTTAATTTTTTTTTTTTTTTTTTTCACGTGGATGAGATTATTATATTTGTATTTTCTACTTATATATTTCCGATGGCGTCTGGTAAGTTTGTACGTGTGTTTAAATGGGTTCTAATGGAGCTGCGATGTGATAGGTGTAATGTAAGGCGTATTGATAGGCATGTAGTAGTGTGGCCGATGTAATTTATGAATTCGGTTTCATCAGGAACCTTAAAGGGCATTTGAACACATAATGTTCGTTCGTTGTAATTTTGATCTTGTTGGTGTGTTGTTATTTTTGAGGATAAGGTTAGCTGTTTTAAATTTTTTGTAGTAGATAATTAATTTGATTTTTTTTTTTTTTTTGTTCAGGTCAATTGGGGTAGGGTATTTCTTTATGATATTTCTAAGTAAAGATTCATCTTGTTTATAGTTGATGTGCATTTGGCTTTTGTAGAAAATATTTGTTATTTTTGACTGTGTTCACTATAATTATCATTTACCTTGGGAAGAAATAGTCTGGTTTGGGGATCTATAAGGTAGTTAGGAAAGCCATTATTAACTAGTGTCTGTTTTGTATTGTTGAGTTCTTTAAAGAAGTGTAGACGAGAGGATGAATTCTGGTGTGCTCTTTTTAGAAAACTTCTTAAATATATATATATATATATAATATATATATATGTGTGTGTGTGTGTCTCTTTCATTAAAGACGACAGACAAGGTACTGCGATTAAGATTTTATTTAATTTTCTTATGTTCAAATGTCATTGTGATGCTTACTCCTATTCTTTTAGGCCCAGGGCTATATATATATATATATATATATATATATATATATATATATATATATATAATATGAAGAAATATAGTCTTAAGATGTGCTATATTTATGGGATAAAGTGCTCAATATCAGATAGAGCGTATGTAAATATAAAAGTTAACATTGAGGTTAACACTCAGAGGAGACAGGCGGCCTGACGATTGCGTCTAACATGAAACAGCCTGTCGCCACTGAGTGTTGACTTCAATGTTCACTTATACAATATATAGAGAGAAAATGTAAGTTTATTCCTCAGTACTTATTCCACTGTTGCAGTCTTCCGACCAATTGATGAAAATTTAAAAAAAAAAAAAAAACTCCCTGCACAAGACTTTGGCTGGATATCTACTCCCGGACTGATCAGTGTGGACAGAATTTCTATCCGAACTGTGTGCTTCGATATCAGTCAGTTGCCACACTATATACTCGTAAATAATTGTCGGCTAATAATGTCATTCAGTGACCGAGTTTCTTATCTCAACTCCATACATGAGACGGTTGGGAAATGATAATGTTTGAAAAGCTAACAAGGCCTCTGCTGGCCGCTGTGAGGAGCCGAGCTAAGAAAAACAAGGTTCACTTAATTTTCATGCTCTGATAACAATACGTAACAGGATTAAAACTCACTTAAGGCAAGGAGCGGCTAATTCAGTAATAAACATTCTAGGCCATCATGTGTGTATATATATATATATATATATATATATATATATCCCAAGGCATTTTCCTCACACACAGTTTTGTCTTTCAGTTAAACTGAAGTGACCAAAGAGAGCATAAGCTTGCTTTTCTGGTGAAACGCGTCTTTAATAACCTTTTCTATTTGTCTTATCTTCATGTGTGTGTGAGATTTTATATATATATATATAATCCATTACATTCACTATTATGCTATAATCCTAGGGAAATGTATTAATCCTCTTCCCCAACCAGCTATGGGTAAATAGCAGGACAAACTGGATTCTGTAGCCTTGGATGGCAACTGGTCTAAGAGAAGGACAACTCTGAATTCAAAACCTGCAGAGGGTCGTTTGTGAACCTTATGGTACGTACTGAACCAGGTTTCTGTATTCGACCCTTCAAAAAAGTGTGTTTGGTTCTGCACAAAGCCTTCACCACTAGTATAAAATCGTATATGCTGTTATCTCAGCTGTCTCGTACCTAGGAACTGAGCTGCTTGACCCTCATACGTCGAATACGATGAGTTCACTAATATATATGTACACACGCACATACAGGGTGCGATGGGTAAATTGTCGCGATTTTATAGTTTTAATTTCATGCATGAACGTTGTTTTTGATTTTGTCGATTACCCGCTATAGTAGGGTCAGTTGAGCACCGTTTATAAGAACAAAAAAAAGCACCATGACGCAATTCACTTTTTATTAACTGTTAATATTTTTTTTTCAAATTGCCCACAACAGGAAACCGTTTCTTCTGTCGCACATTCTGGCACAACTGGTTTAGCACACACCGCAACGCACTGACCGAGTTATGCACAAGTGCTTACTCCACGTTCCAACAAACATTCACTACCTTTATTCGTTTTTGCCAAGCCAGAAAATTAGCATCTTGCGCACGCTGCCAGCCTCGGTCTGGCTTAGTGACGCATGCGCTGTGTCATTCCAGCGCCGATGCTCGTACGGTTCGCTTCGCTCACAATTTGAACGTATAATACGCAAATTTAGACTACGCCATTCTGACCATCTTGGACATCTGAGGTAATTCTCTAGCACACTTTAAGTAGCAGGGATGCCGTAGTAATGAATTTGCATTATGTTTTGATAATGCCCGCCGGAAAGGAGCGAAATGTCAACAAGTAATTAAAAATAATCTAAACCTTCAGTTGCTTTTCACGTGTTCCATTTTAGATAATTTGAATATTTCATACACACACGGCTGGCTACTCAAATCTGCGAATACCCGCATGTCGGTAGGCGCCAACAATCGCTCACTATCAACGGCTTCTAAACTGTTTCGTTTACTCAATTTCACTGACAAGGCTTGAGTCAAACCGTGGTATATCTCACTATAGTCGATTTGTCTGGGAAATGACTGCTATCGTTCCAGGGAATATATATATGATCTCGATCGATCCTCATTGGGTACCCTCATAGAAAATTCAGCATTAAATATGTCGGCAAGGGCCGACATCGGAAAATGAACCTAACAGTATAGAATTGTATCTCTATTCTGTCCCATCGCTAGTCTTCATGTCAGGCCATTTCATGGTTATTCACTAAACTCATCTCCTTCCTGCTTCTGTAAGATGTTCGATGGAGTGGAGCACCCAGTCAGAATCGACGGCAAAAAAATCTGTCAGTGAAGCTAAATTAATTATCGCACTACGGCAGAGACTTAAGGTCTTTCTACAACTAGATGTAAGAAAGTCAAGTCAACAAAACAAATGAAACGCTATACTTACACATAGAAATACATACAGAAATACATACAAATAGAAAACGAAAAACGTTTGCCGCCGAGATCATTAGCTAGACATGGTTTCGTACTGTGTGCTTAATTGGTGTCACTTTGAGTTGCTCAATTTATTGTATCTCTACATTGACATCATCGGAAGGAATAGAACGTATATATGCATGACCTAGAGGAGAGGTATGAAAGAGGGGTGAGGTGTAGGAGGAAGAAGGGAGGTATGAAAGGGAGGAGAGGTGTAGGAGGAAGGAGAGGAGAGGTATGAAAGGGAGGAGAGGTGTAGGAGGAAGGAGAGGAGAGGTATGAAAGGGAGGAGAGGTGTAGTAGGGAGGAAAGGTATGAAAGGAGGGGAGGAGAGGTGTAGGAGGAAGGAGAGGTGAGGTAGGAAAGGGAGGGAGAGGGTAAGGGAAAGGGAGGAGAGGTATGAAAGGGAGGAGAGGTGTAGTAGGAAGGAGAGGTATGAGAGAGGTGTAGTAGGAAGGAGAGGAGATGTATGAAAGAGAAAAGCTAGGAAAAGAGAGTAGCGAAGAAAGGAGGAAAAAGTAGCTAAAGAAACAAGAGATGGTGACATAACCACGTCCGACTGCAATTCGAATTCGTTTATTGGAGAAAGCCTACTTCATATGTAGGCCAAATGTAAACTGATCGGCTCGTCATCATCTTCATCATTCCTGCAGCAATGACTTTTCTTCAAACGACATACTTCCTTCTACCCAATCTCCTAAGGGACTCCCTTAACTCGAGTAGCGAGACTGAAATTACTCTCTCAATAATAATAATAAACCAAAAATATCTTTCTATGAGTAGAATGTTTTTGTGACTTAGCTGAGTGTGACGTCAGGTTTCATTCAAAAAAAACATACATTCCCGAGTGCACAGACTAATACGAATCGCACAAAAAAATTATCAATGACAATCCTGCATTTGATAATATAAAAAAAGAACTTAAAACCTTACTACATCCGAACTTAAAACATTTTATTTTGCTCATTAGCATAGAAAGTACGTTTGATAAGACGTTAGCCTTTTCACGTGTTGCTACGGTTGGTTCGAAAATGTAAAAAAAAAAAAAAAAAAAAAGCACTGTATACCTTTACAAAAACACTGGGCTTACGGCCATATCACGTTGAAACATCTGTTCCCATACGTTCACTGAAGTTCAGCAACGCCGAGCCTGGTCAGTACTTACACTGGTGGCCCCTTGTGAATAGCAGGTTCTGTAAGCTTGGATGTGCGGGTGATGTAATGGATAACGACACTGAATCGGAGAGTCGGGTTCGTTATATTTACTTACGCACAAATATTTTTAGGAAAACCACTTCTCCCCCAGTTATGGGTTAATTAGTAAGACTTGTATCACTAAAGCATTATTATCTAAGAAAAAAATTCTTAAAATCTAAAAATATTTTCTGACCTTATAACATAGAAAACAGATCAATCAATTAAAAAATGAAAATATTAATCATTAACAAATTTTGACTAGTACTTTCTCGACTGCATGAATTTAAGCGTGCTACTAGATTGCCAATTAGGTCTCATTGTTTTATTGTTGAACTGGCTATATTCAACTGTCTATTGTATTCTGATATTTTCTTTCCTCGTCTGTGAAAATCCCTTCTGTTTTCTTGTTTCCCTGTCACCTACAATCTTCAAAAAGTTAAATGTCAGTGTCCATCTTCTGTCTTCATATTTCTTTATTGTCCTTTCTCAATTTCTCCTTTTGTCATTATTTTTCACTCCCTGTAATCATTAGCATCTTCGTGGCATAATCGCCTTGCTTGGAGTGAAACTATTAAAAAAAAAAAAAAGATGAAATAAATACTAATCAAAATGGATGGCAGAAATTCTGTAGTCGCAATGTCCTTTTGAATTTTGTTCTCATTGAATAAAGCATTGTTAATTTTTGGTTCTTAATTTCAGTTGCTTTTCATTGTATCTTAAACAGTCATTCTACGGCTGTTAGTAAGCAAGGAGGATCATAGCCGGGTATCTTGAGACCTTTTTATTTTTAAATTTGTAAGAGACATCCAAGGTGACTAGGAAGTCACATCTAGATACTTTGGAACAAACCTGAAGAGTTATGTGCTTTTGTTATGAACATCTGTCATTATATTGTGCTGTTGATTTCTGTCGTCATGGGAATGGTGATTTATTGTAAATAATTTGGCAATTTTGGCACAAGGCCGAAGAGGAAGTGGGGTAAATATCGTAGACCTAGCTAGTCAGATTCACGACCAATTCATTCATTCATTCATTCATTACAATTTGCTCATTTACAACAAGAACTCATCCATCATTCAATCTTACGTATACCGCAATACCACAAATTCACAACGAAGCTACAAAAACCTCATGACACAAAAAAATCAACAATTCAAATGCCCTTTTTTTTCTTACCAAAATATAAAAATTTCATGAACATTAAATGAAAAAGGTAATGAACCCCAAAACAAAACTAAAATATAAGAAAGAATTAAACTAAAAATAACATATGTTAGTAGGTCCCGTCCACCACACGAAAAATAAGAGTGGCTGCTGTAGTCTGCCTTTAAACAGAAACAAGAAGCTCACTTACTAACGGAGAGGGAAGAATAAAAAAATGACGGAGTGGGAGAATAAGACTGACCCAATCGAGATACAAAAGAAGGGGACAAAAACAGACTAGGGAGGTTGGGAATTTCGACATGGATCATAACGAAAGAGAATGCCGGGAACAACATTTACTCGTATAAACTAGGTAAAAAAAAATAGTGTCTAACTTAACCAGGAAACCGCACCGTTGCGTCAAAAGGGACTTAAAAAAGAAAATCACGCTGACCTCTTTCACACGACTCGAGCTCACCACTTTTACCCACCTTTCGCTGAAATCTGTCGATAACACTTTCATCCTGAGCTGATGCCAAAGAATCCGACTAGATCCTGATGAGGATAGCCTTCGTATCGCAAGATTCCCTCCATCCGCGACGACACCACCACCATTCATTTCACCCTAGAGAACGGGAGCAACACATTATCGCACGCGTATGCGAGATCGATGGACCCGAGATGTTCGGGATCGATACGAGCCGTCAACTCGCTGACATAGTCCCAGAAAGAGCGCACCTGAGGACAATGGTAAAAGGCGTGCGAAGCCGGTTTCTTTAAACCAAGATCACGCCGATGACAGTCTGGCAAATTTGAACCTTTTTGAAGGCTACGTCATTGAGATAGCACATTCCTAATCAATCGCCAGGTATGCGAAAACTCAGGGTTGCTGAGGTAATCTGCCGCTGGCACCCAAGACCAGGAAAAGCGCAAACCGGTCGCCGACAAACCGAACCGCCCACAGAGAGAATCCTTCGTGACCTCCTCCACGATACAATACTCTCTGATGCCGTAGAAATGTCACTGAACCGAGGAATGATCTTCAAGGCCGCTCGACACAGTGAGGAATCTCGACTGATTCCGGGGCTCAGCCCTAGAAACAGGACGAGTGATGGTAAGGCTAGACAAGGCATCCCTAATACTCCCCCTCCAAGATCGAGTTCGCTGCCAATGTACAGTATAGGAAAACCAACATTATAATTTAAAAAAACAGATTTATTATGAACCCATACTATCAGGCCGAGATTGAACCTTTTGATTTATTATGCTACCAAGTTCACTAATAAATGTTTTAATCTTCTAGGCCATTGACCATTTGTCTAGGACAACTCTAAATTCAAATCCGCGGAGAAAGCAACGCGAAATAATGGTACTACCTTTTCAAATAATTGATGGCAATTCCTTGATAATAAAGAAAAGGAACGTGTCGAGAATCATGATCGCTTACGTTCTTTATTTTTGTCCTCATGATTTCGTTGCTGAGTGGTTAAATTCCTTCCTTTGCTTTTCGTTGTCGGTATCCATTTGTTGATTTTTATTCTGTCGCTTATCACTCGAGTGTTGACCGTCATATCTTAATGTTTCAATATCCTCCTGTATTTGATTTGACCAGGCCCACTAAAACAAGGAGCATGGATCCACGGATACAACGGAAATAGGTTGAATTCATGTTATCACTAATGATTCTATTGTTCTGTTCCAATGTGTTTTACATAAACAAAACAAGTAGCGTGACCTTGTCATTTTTTAAGTATACTTACATGAATGTATTAGCTGATGTTTTTGTAGGTAATCACGTGACAGAAAGTTTGCTTTGCATTCTAGCACGCAATTATGCTAATACTATCTAATGTACTATATTTGTAGACTATAATACATCAGTTGATTTGAGTACTTTGTTTGAATTTTTAAGATGACAAATTATCATTATTTGCATTCGGACGAATGTTATTACTACAGTGTAACCCGGATATAAGAGAAACCCGGATATAAGAGACTTTCTCTGGTACCAAATTAGAGCCTGTGTTAATGTATATAAAATAGACCAAACCCGGATATAAGAGACTTCTTCTCCGGTCCCGACAACTCTTATATCCGGGTTACACTGTAATATTATTGACAATCTTTGAAGATTACCCAGTGCCAAAGACATCTTATTAAGGTAGGAGAGCTCAATGACTGAAGTGTTGTAATAACACCAAAAATGATAACATTCGTCCGAATGAAATCACTAATTTTTTTTTTTTTTTTTTTTTAGTGTCGCTTTAATTTATTCTCAGATTTCCGCCTCTTAATTTTTTTTACAAAACTCTTCCAAGTACGCCAATACTGATGAATAGAATCACCACCAACAAAATCCCCATTTTTTTTTAATTCGCTCGCATGGTTCATCCATGTTGACAGCTTTGTATTTTCTTGTTCTTTTTCTTGTTTCTTGTTCTTCTTGGTTTTTCCTTTTCTTGTTGTTCCTTGTTGTTCTGGAGGGAGCAACTCGCTAGTAAATTGATTCTGGGGCATCACTATATGAAACCTAATCTGATAAAAGTATGCCAGACACGTGCATGCCATTATTTCGATCTCGACAACCGGCCATGGTGCTCCCCCCACTACTACTCCCGCTCATGAACAGATGCACAGTACATCATCCTCCTCATGCCCAACGGATTAAAGTCGGCCAACTGTCTCGGCTGTGATGCTCCCCTGTTCATGAACCGATACACAGGGCATCAGCCCCTAAGGAGTCATGCCCAACTGGTTACGGTCATGAAACTGGCAAACACATCTGTGATACTGAACGGCATATTTACTGTAGCCCATTTTTTAATTCCCCATGACTAAACCTGTACATGTTAATGCCCCTAATTTATCCCCATCATAAGATTCATACCACGTGTAGCATCATCATTACTCTCATCACTATTATTATTATGAGTAGTAGCAGTGTCACTCATTGTATGAAATCAAGGCATCTGATCAGGAGATTAGAGGTTTTGAGGAGCATGGAACCACCTCTTAATTGCTGTTGTTCCCAGGTCTAACCTGACACGAGGGTGGTAGCACCTGTTAGGTTCCCAGTTATGGACAAATAGTGCCCCCCACCCCACCAAATAAAAATAAAATCAATAGAAAAGTATAAAAATACCTATTTGTAGTAAAAATTACCAACAATACATTTTATAGCAAAATGACCAACAATACATTTCAGCTGAAGTTGAAGCCATAAAATTGTGTAAAATATTTAAATTTCGGCATTTAATAACCCACCGGGGTTGATATGCCGCTAATGAAAATCAACCAGCCAACCTACGTTGGAGATTATGTGACAAAGTCCTTCTATAGTTTTAATGTAATCTTAGTATTCAAGCTGTTTTCATGAATTCCATCATCTGGATAATTAGTAAGGTCGAGATATTTGTTTTTTCGCTTTTATTTTTTTTTGTGTGTGTGAGCACGCGCGTGCGCCCTGTAAATTGAAATAAGAGACGAGGAAGCGGTGAATAAACTCCCTAATGTAAACGGTTGGCTGAACAGGGACGAGGCGAGATAGCAGAAAGACAAACCTTACACAGAGCTAAAAAGGAAATGAAAGTCTGGAGAGCCATTATCGTCTACGCCCGGAAGGAACATGACACATATATTTTCTTTTAGTGTACTACTAGATGCGAACGTCTCGTCTGGATGGGATTATCCATTGGGCATTTAAAATCCCAGAGAAACTTATGGTCACCCAGAAATCGAGTAATCCTTCTCCAAGAGTTTCTATTGGGATTTAAATGTCGTATTTGTTGTTGTTCCTTTCATCGTTTCTCTTTTCCTTCATTACTTTATCTTCCTTGAATTGTTCCAGAACGATTTCGACG